AATTATACAAACAAGCTGATGGCCACAGGAAGGACCACAGTTCCAGACTCAATTTGGACTTTTGGAGAAAGCTAGTAGAGGCTTCAAAGGTTCTGAGGAGGATGCTTGATCAATAAGTAAACTTTCAAGTCTCTGATTACCTAGCCAAGTCCACCATTAAATATCATGGGTGGAAGGGTGGGGTCTATGTGTGGAGAAACAGATCAGCATATAAGAGCCCTGGCTTCCAGAAGGTCCACCCACGTGGAGGCTCACAACTGTCTGTAACTTCTGTACCCTCTTCTGACCTTCTCAAGCACTGCACACAGGTGATACGCAAACATACATGCAGACAAACACCCATATACAAACTAAAATGAGAAATAAAAACCAAACCAACCAATCAATCAAACAAAAACCCAAATCAAACCAAAATCCAAAAGCCAAACAAAGAAAAAACCAGGGCCAGCAGATAGCTCAGCAGGTAAAAGTGCTTGTTGGGAAGCCTCAAGCCTTGAGTTCCAGCCCTGGAACCTACATGGTGGAAGAACTGACTTCTGAAAGCTGTCCTCTGATACACACACTGTGGCACCATCCCTCACCCCAATACCTCCTTTTCCCTCCCTTCCTCCTCAGAACTTAATCCTGTTCCGTATAACCATGTTCCCACCCCGGGGAGGGATGTCTGCTACTTGTGGAAATTCTGTCAGCTTTAGACCATTTAAACACATGTAACAATGCCCACCCAACAAGTCCTAGCCCCACTCACCCTCTCATCCAGATCACTTTCTGCGTCACACTGAGAAGGAAAGAGAGAGATATCAGGAGATAGAAGAGGAGTGGGACCCAAGAGGGAAGGGAGGGGCCATCATAGGTGGATAGCACTTACTATATATCCAGCTTCCACAGAGTGATGGGAGAAGGCCTGAGAAAGACCAGAGTCCAGAGGTGAGGGAGGCTGACTGGCCAGGAAACTGTATAAAGCCACAACTCCCAGAAAGGCATTCAAGGACATTTACAATCTTCTCAGCCACTTTTTCTAGCTTTTTCTTTGGGTGCTTCCCACCTCCATTCCCAATGCTCTTACTATCTTCTTAATACACCAGGTTCTCATATATTTTGTTCAAAACAACTTTTCTTCATTTCTTTCCTCAGCAAACTTCTGACTCTTACTTTGGGGCCCAAGACATTCTAGGGGGCTTTCCCTAACCACAACCTGCTGCCCATCCCCCCAGACAGAATGAGTGGCTTCCTCATGTGGGTTTCTGCAGCCCTTCTAGATTGAAAAGGAGGCTAGGTGTTTGCTTGTTGACTGTCTCTTTCTCCCTAGAGGCTGTCACCAGCTAGAGGGAAAGGCAGGGACATCTAATTCATTTACAATTCAACCAAGTGTCAAGTGTCTTTGATGAGTCTTGAATTATCAGCATGTTTGTGGTACACAGCACAAGCAAAAGCAAGCGAGTTTGACTGCAGTCAAGTCTTTGGCAGGCCTGCTCTGGGTGGGGGGGCTGCTGTCCAATATATTCTGGCTTCCTCTCTGCTCTTAGAACTTGGACTACTGTTTAGGATTGGCAGTTCTGATGCTCACGCTAAAACCAACCTACTCGAATGATATTCTGACTGAAGACTTTTGAAGGATTGGGATCAGGGACAGGCTCACCTCTTTCCGTCTTCGCTTATTGGGCCATTTGCGGGGCCTATCCCCAGGGGGCCGGCCAGGCTCACGTTCTGAGCTGTCCCCTGGCTCCCCAGTGGCCCCACTGGAGCCCCCCCTCTTCCGTTTCCCAGAATGCTTCAGCCGATGTTCCAGTCGCTCTGGGGGCTGAAGAGACGCATCCTTCTGTAGAAGAGGAGGTGGGACTGAAATGGTTGGAGAAAGAAAAGCTCCCCAACTAAGGGTGACCAAGCTACTCACTGCCTCTCAGTCAGGGTAACTTAGGTAGTCCCTAGAGACTAGCTCTACCTCCTCCCACCCCAGGGTGGGGCAGAAGCCAGGCCAGAGGAGCCGGTTGCTCTGGTTTGGGGTGTCACCACTGCCCCCTCAATGCCATCCGCTCCGAGGGCTGTATCCTTCTCTCTGCCCTTCTGACTCTCCTCCCAAAGACCCCCAATTCCTATCAGGACACACCTGCAAGGCCTCAAGGCTGGCAAAGCTAGCGATGGCAAAGCCATCGATCAAGTCTTCCTCCTCTTCTTCCTCCTCCTCAGGCTCCTCCTCGGCTTCCCCGTCGTCTGCGGGCCCCTCTTCCTCTTCCTCCTCTTCCTCTCCGCGGCTGCCCGACCCGGCAGGCCGCTTCCGAGCTCGCGGTCTCGGGGGTCGAGGCCTGGGTCGGGGCCGCCGCCGCCTCAGGCCCCCAGGCCGCTCTCCAGACGAAGCTGACGACCAGGGCCGGGCGGGCGGCGGCGGTGACGACGAGGATGAAGAGCCGCGCGGGGCGGCCAACAAGGCCCGGGGCGCGTCACCGCCTGGACCTCGGCGGCGCCGCTGCTCCCGATCACGGTCTCGCCGCGAGCAACGTCTTCGCCGCCGCTCCCCCTCAGCTGCCCAGCCCGGGCCTGGGGCCGCGGCCGTCTCCATGGTGACGGCCCTCAGCGCCGCATCCGGAGGCGGCGGGGCCCGAAGCGGCCTGTCCAAAGGCCCGGGGTCGCGAGCGCGGTGCTGCCGTTCGCACAGGGACGGGAGAGCTCCGGCTTCCTCTTTAAAACAGGATCCGCTGGCCCCTGGCTTGCCCCAAGGCCAAGGCCCAGAGAGCCGGCGCCGCCCCCGGGGCGACAAGCCTGAAGGCCCCCCCTGTAGGGCTGGCGGGGCCGCGACGACGAAAACTGAGCGGCCGTCCCTTTAAGGCGAGGCCTCAAACTGTCCAGCCCCCGGCCCCTTTAAGACGACTCCACCGTGTCCGGCTGGTCTAGTGCGGCGGCGGCCCCGTGCCAGGGGTCGAGGCAAGTCTCCCAGAGGAAGAGGAAGGGCCACCCCTTTAAAAGGGGCGGAAAGTGCGACCTCCCCTTTAAAAGTGTCTTAAGTCCTCCGGCTGAAAGAGGCCACCCCTTTAAAGAGTCCAGAGGCTTTCAAACAGCAGGCCGTTCCTTTTAAGAGCTCGCAGTCAAGTTTCTAGTCCGCCACACGCTGCCACTTCCCCTTTAAGATGAATTTAAAGAACTTCTTGCGTGGGACGGGAGGTGGGAAAACTCCGCTTGCCCCAGTTCTTCCAACAGGAGTTCTGTTTGTCAGCTTCGGCAGCTTTCCCCTTTAAGGCAGGCGTTAGGGTCGGCCGAGTTTAGTGCCCACCCCTTTAAGGGGATTTAAAGAAGTCTACGCCTCCGGTAGCCTTGAAAGGTGCAAGGGGGCGGAGCCTGCCCTCCAAAGTCCCGGATGTGAGGCAACGGTGACGGATAGAGCTCCTCTGACTGTCCTCCGACATAAAAGCCGCTTCCTCCTTTGCTCCGTCTCCGACTGACTTGTGTCCAGAAGGATCTGGAGAGGCCGCTGAGCAGCGAGGAACTCCGCCGTAGCCTCCCGCTGTCTCCTCTGGAGTCTCGGCCTCCGCTCCGCCAGAACTTCCCTGCCCCTCCTCCCTCTTCCTCCTCAGCCAACGCCTCCTTCCTCTCTCCGCCTCCTCCCACTCTCCGCCTCCTTCCTCCTCCCTCCGCGGCTCAGGCGTTTATAGGTTGGCAAGTAGCCGTCAACGCGAAGGGCGGAGCCAGAGTCGCGGGAGTGCCGGATGTAACCGCCCTCAGGCCTCGGATTGGACGGTCCGATTGGCCCCGCCCCCAGGTCTTGTGACTCGGCTGGTCCGAAGTAGGTGTTTCGGGGGGCCCAAAGGGGGGGGGCCTCTTCCTGCTCTCTACTCATTGGCCGCCTCCTGACGGCGACGAGGCGCGGGGGCGGGGCCTGGCGGGGGCGGGCCGCCGGGGGGCGTTCTCTGACTGGTCGGGACTTATGCCTGTCCGCCTGTTGGCGTTTCGCGCAGGCGCAAGGCGGAAGCCCCGCCTGCGGCCTTAGGGCGGCTCGCTCCGTCGCGTCGCCTCCGCACGGGGAGGCTCGACGAGCAAGCGAACGTCAGCAGCGGGGCGGAGACCGAGCTCCTGTTCCTGCGGGCGTCGAGCGGCGGCCTCCCCTTCTAGCGCTCAGCAATAAAAAGCACTTTGCACTCGTGTGCGGAGTACTCTTTCGCCTTAATTCACTTGGTAATCGTGTTCGAGGTAAATATTTGCTGTCTGCTCCATTTTATTAAGGGGATCTGTACGAACAGACTGGATTCTGGCTCCAGAGCGAGGGCCGTGGCCACTTTCCGAAGCCTTTCTGTTACGTGACTCTGATCTCTGGTTTTTGAATTTTGGTTTTTCAGTGTATCGTTATTGTGTGGCGGTGGGCCTGATGTATGGAGGGGTGTGAGTGTCATCATGTGCACGCTGAGGCCCGAGGACAACTTTGTGGAGGCTTCAACTTTCTTGTGGGTTCTGGGGATTGATTTCTGGTTTTTAGGTGTATGTGCTAAGCGCCTTTTATCAGCCTTGCTGGCCACTGGCCCTGGCTCCTACTGTAATGTGGACGTTTCCCTGACAAACTCACCTCGTGTTCTCGTTGATAAATTCCCTAATAGGACTTGTACCGGACAAGTATCTATGGTAGGTTGTTCTAGGTGGGTGATTACAGCGTTTGGAAGGAATTCAAGACCATCTTGATCAAGGCCTTCGTCTATTCCAAAGTCTTTAAATATCTAGGATGTATATGAGTAGTGAGTGTATAGTGGCGTTTCTGTTTTTCCTTCATAAATATCCCCCCATAAAAGTGTTCTTGAGAGCGTTATCTGTGGGCTGGAGAGAGTGTGTCTAGATTTGATCCCCTAGTACTGCCGGGGACGAGAGTGGGGTGGGGAATCTCTAGGGACCACGCTACCCACTTGTCTGCAACCCCTTTTTTCTTCTCTGGCACTGTCTGTCCCCTTTTTCTACTCCTTTGGTGACCAACATAGAAGCAGTGTAACTAGTTGGTCTCAAACTCTGTTGAAGACACAAAGGAATCAGAAACATATTGAAAACTTTATAGAAATATAGAGAAAAAAATACAATTGACCCAGAGATTTCCCCCTCCCTGAAGGACAGATGGACAAACAGTGAGAGCTCCTAGAGCTGACAGGGCTGTTCTCAGTCTCTCTCCTCCTCTAGGAGCAAGGCATCTAGCTCCTTCAGCCGTTCTTGCAGCAGACGTCCCACATCCTGGCTGGGTGCCAGGTTAGGAGTAAGGGTCCTGCTAGCTGCAGTGCGGGCCCCTCGTGATGGTCGACGGGATCGAGGAAGGCTACTGTCCCGAAATTCTACAGCCCGTCGGAGTTTCCTAGAACTGGTAAAAATCAGAGTCCCATTGCGTTCCCGCGGCTCCTCGAAGATGGTCTCAAAGGTCCTGGGCCGGGCAGGGAGAAGAGGTGTTTACCAGCATGCTCCCTGGTTCCAACAGCCCTCTGCTGCCCTCAGACCTTCCAAGTTTCTCACCTTCTGGCTGTTGGTGATTGGTAATTCTTATTGGTATAAATTTCTTCCAAAGTAAACTCCTTCTTTTTCAATCTGGAAGCAAAAGCAAAGGACACTGAGAAACCCTGAGCAAGGAGGTCCTGAGAAGGTCCAGGGAAAGCCTGACTGAATTTCGGGTTTGGGGCCATGTGAGAGTCAGCAGTGACGCGTAAGGAAGTTCTAAGCACAAGCCACGTCCTTGCTAAACTTAAGTCTTCCAGGCTGGACTACGCTCCTTGAGAGGAGCCAAGGCTGTACTTGAGGGATACGAGCTGTCACCTACTTGGTCATGGTAGCTCCCTGCCCTCTGAGCCTCTCACCTGACTGGTCGAGGCAGCCCCATTGGTGTAAGGTTTGGTTGTAGTCGGACAGGCGTCCTCCGTATTCTGAATCCAGAAACCTTTCCCGTGGTCTGCAAAAATGGGGCAGAGGGTGAAGGGAAGGCATGGGCTCAGGCCTCAGCTAGCTCCCGTCTCTTTATTCATTACCTTGGTCTCTGGGTCAGAAAGCACCTTGTCCTTTGAGGCTTTTAACTCCTTCCCCTTGGTTGAACCCAATCTGCAGAGATGGTCAACAGTCAGGGACAAGGAAACACACAGCAATACACCCGTCTTCTGTCACTGGTTACTGAGCAAAGGAGGCCGGGCTCAGGCTGTGGCCAAGGCTTCCAGAAGGGTTTATTAAGAGCACTACCTGGGTTCTGCTGGTTCGCAGAAGAAGGAAGTGGATGCAGTGGATGAGGAAGATGTAGTGAGAGAAGGTGAGACTCCCACTCCTCCAAGAGGGAAGACCTCTTTCCGGAGACAGGGCCGAGGAGGCGGTGGGGTCCGGGTCATCTCCCCACAACCCACAGTATGTCTCCGGGGCCTGGACTGGCTTGGCTGGGATGGAACAGGAGGCCAGGTACAGCTACCTGGGCCAGGGGGCCCCAGATCAGGGCAGGAGTAGCTTCGGCCCAGAGATAATTTAGGGACAGGTGGTGGGGCACTATCCTGAGTCCGCCACTGACGGATAGGGGGCCGGGGGCTGACAGATGCAATTCTCTCAGTAGCCCTGGACTGCTCAGCCTCTGAGATAGCAATCTTCAACTCCAATTTCATGGGAGGTGATGGGGGTGGAGGCTGTGGTGCTTTGTTAGGCGTGAGGAAGATGTCAGCGAAGCTCTCAAGCTTGGATCGGACGGAACGGAAGAGAGGGGCCAAGCCCCAGGGACTGAGACGGGGGCGTAAAAGGCTGGACGGTGGTGGGGTCAATGGGGCCTCCAGAGCAGGATCTGGAGCTGAGGAAAGGAGAGGGTCACAGGTGGGTATTCCTTACCCTCAGGTGATTTAAGCACCACTTCACAAGCCTCAGTCTCTTTCCCCAAACACTAACCTGTCTCTAGAGGAGTGAACCTGATCCTAAAGTCCTAGAAGTAGGATTGCTTAACATGCCCTAAGCCCTGGATTTGATCCCCAGTGCTGAAAAATAAAATAAAAACCCTCTGAAGTCCCTGAGGTCCAAATCCCATTTTTGTCCATCCTGCTCTGCCCTGGGAGGGGGTTAAGTCCCATCCATAGTTCTTCCGCTGATGTTTCAAGCTTATGTTGCCTATTCCAGACTTTTGAGTCTTATTCCTCTATTCAAGTCCTTACCCGGTAGTGGGCTCTCTGGAGGGTCCGCAGGCAGAGTGGACGGCTGGAATGGAGGGTCTAGTTCTCTGGGTGCAGGCATTGGCTGATGAACTTTTGTCATAGGCTCAGCTCTGGGGTGAGGGGACAAAGTAAGAGTTGGGGGTGCTTCCAAGTCCAGGTCCCTCCTAGGCCAGTGTTTCCCCTGGCCCTTAAGACTTATGAAGGAGCTATAAGGAAGGATTAGACAAGTAAATCCTGATGTCCCCAGCTCTGGATGTCTGGATGATAGCTTTGATAATCCCTTCTCCAGCCATCTCACCTTTGTGCTGGGACAATGAAGCTGGGCCCATCTTCAGCCAAACCCTGGATATAAACAGGGGAGGTGATTTGAAAAAGCAGGAAGCCATCTTTGTTCCCCCATGGCCTAACTCATTCCCCAGCTGTCTGCTCACCCCAATGACAACATTTTATGTGGTAGACACTACCTGAATAAAGGGTAGAAGAAAAAATCTTTTGTCTACAACCAAGCAGGTACTGTCTTACCACATAAAATGTTGTCATTGGGGTGGTGGCACAAGCCTTTATCCCTAGACTTGCAAGGTAGAGGCAGGCTATAAATTGGGTCAGCCTGGTCTACACACCAAGTTTTTGGCCACCCAAGTCTACATAGTGAATGGGAGGAGGGGGCGGTGAAGCGGGCTGGAGAGATGGCTCAGTGGTTGAGGCACTGGTACTGTTCCAGAGGACCCAGGTTCAGTTCCCAGCACCCACATGGCAGCTCACAACTGTTTAACTCCTGTTCCAGGGGCTCCAATATCCTCATACAGATGTACATGCAGGCAAAACACCAATGTACATAAAATAAAAATTATTTTAAAAAATTCTTTTGTCCTGCCTTTACCCACCCAGCCTCATGCTTGCCCTAGTTGGAACCAGAGATCTTCACCATACTTTCTTATACCTCAACTGGTTGTCTGGAGTTGGCAATGTCTTCTAGTACCACCACTAGGGTGGGCTGGGTGACCTGGTCCACCTTCTGTGAAGGGCTCTCTTCTGGGCCAGAGGCTGCCCTTGAGCTCATCCTGAAGGTGGGAGAGGACTGGTGGATGCGGCTTAAGGGTTCTCGGCACAAATGCAGTGGGTCAGGAGGCCTAGAGAAGAAGTAGGGGGATCAGTGGGCTCAGCTGCGTTCTCAGCTTATTCCCTTCCCTGCCACACTCACCTGGCTTGTAAGGGCCACTTGACCTGCTGGGGTGGTAAAGCTGGTGACTGTCTGCAGACAGAATCTGGATGACTGTTGTGATGCATCTGGCTGGAGGTGTCCTCTTGGTATGCCAGGGGGACCTAAGAGACGAAAAGCTGTTAAAAAGGAGCCAAGCTGGGTTCATGCCTATATAATCCCAGTACTTCTGAGGCTAACACAAAAAAGATGGAGAGTTCCAGGTCAGCCTGGGCTAAAAGGAGAGACTCTGTCTCAGTAAGACAAAACGACAGCAAAGTCCAAAGTAATAGAATGAGGCCAACTGGACAGGAGCTCCTGTGTCTCAGTGTCCCTAGTCACAGAGGAGACAGATTTCAGCTAGAATTCACTCAGATCCCTAAAGGAAGTGATTTGGTCTGAATTAGGAGTGAGATAGTAGAGTCAGGAGCTACAGGTGTGAAATGTAAGTCATCTAATCTAACCCAGGCTCTGAAGAAATGGAGAAAGAAGTGACGTTTTTCTCATCTCTGTCGCGTAACCAAAGACACAACCAGCATGCTTCCCGTGGGGGGGGGGGGCAGGGTAGCCAGAAGTTTCTCATACTTAGTAGGATATGGTTCCAGCTCAGTGGCGCGTGCGAGGAGGACAGGCACACCCCAGAACCATGCAGAAGTCTTGCATTAAGGAGACTGCTTTGAATGCTGGCTTAAGGGATCTGGTCTGACTTTAGTACTGAGCCAGGGCGGGGGTGGAGGACTGGAAAGGGGAGGCGTCTTTCAGTTAAAGGGCTCACCCTGTTTGCAGCCATGACATCTTCCAGCACCACGGCCAGGACCCTCCGAGAGGCCTTTTCCAGGGGCGAAGGAGTCCCCAAGTGCTGCAGCCTCGGTCTTTTCGGGCTCCTGGCTTCCCATAATGCTCGAGCTAGGGGCTGGCGGCACAGGTTTGACTGTCTAGAAGGGCTGGAGGATGAAAGAAGTAGAAGACAGTTGCCCGAACCAGTTGTTGGCTCTGTAGTGGTCGGGTACAGCCGCCAGGATCCCCGTGTCCCAGGCTCAAGACAGGCAGGCGGGCGGGGAGCGCTCTCACCTGGAGTCCCCAGGGAAGTCCATGGGGAAAACGGTGGTTCCAGGGAGTCCCTGGGGGATCCCAGGCTCCGGCCTGGGGTAAAGGGGGAACAGGGGAGTGGGGAGTGAGGGCCAGCTCCTCCCCCGGGACTCCGCCCTTCATGGTCCGCCTGCGGCTCCCGGTAGGCCAAAGGCCTTTTCTCGAAAGGGCGCCCCCAGCTGGCCGCTCGAAGCCGGGTCCTCCCGCTGCAGCCGCCTTGACCACTCGGGCCCTGCCTGGCACCTGCCTAGACTGGATTGCGGAGGTCACAGCTCTCCCACGGCTCGAGCCTTCTGGGACCTTTGTCCCTGTAGAAGCCTCCCCGGGGTTCTCAGGGATCCGCTAGGATCCCGGTCCTGGGAGGTTCCGTTTCCGCTAGATTCCTCGGTGATCCTCGCCCCGCCAAACAAGGGCTCCAGAAGAATTACTTCACATACTGACAGCCCTCCCTCCCACCAGATCGCCTAAATTGGATCTCTGTGGAAAGACTCCTACGGCGCGGGTCTCCAATCAGAAGCCGCGCGACTCGCCTCCTCCCACTGTGAGCTTCGTCTTAACGAAGTTCCATTCGGGAGAGGCCCAAGCTCATCAACGAACTCAGCCGGGATGCCAGGGTATACCCTGTCAAACCGACAACCCATTCACTCCAATCCCGGAAGGTCCAGCCTACCGGTAACAGCCCACCCTAAGCCCCCGCCCTGCCTGGATCCCCGCCCCGCGTTTTCGGGAGCTCGGGACCAGATGGCTCAAACGTTTCCTTCAACGCCCGCCTCTCTGCCCTTTCTCCTGCCGGGTCCCCCCCATTCCCACCCCTCCCCTGCGCCACTTACCGCAGCTTTCTTAGAATCCCGGGTTTTCGACAGCTCCCACCTCCGGCTTCTTTAAAACCAGCCTTACGCAGCTCTGTCCAACCGTCGGAGGCCTTCTTCTCTGTGTCTTGGGCACCGCCCAATCGCTAGTGCTGGTCTTCCGGGGTTAGGCGAAGCTACGTGAAACCGCCAGGCAGCCATGATATCTAGGGGCAAGAAGCTAAAACAAGGACAGCGCCGCCATTATAATTGAGGGCAGTACGGCTGGAGCACTAGTCGACCGGATTTTACAAAGGCCAGTCAATGGTCCACTACTATGTCAAGTTTCTTGATCTATTTGGACAACAGTAGTGAAGCCGAAGTTCTCCACATTTCATAAAACCTTATGTTTGTTTTTTTTCCCTCTTGTTTCTATGCCAGTAAATCTTGAGAGCTAAGAAATTTCCATTCTCTTGGGTTCCTCGAGGTTGAGGCTCTGGGAGTGAGGGAAAAAGCAGGGCGGGGACCCTGAATATACAAGGTTAACGATTAGGGCTGGTGCGTCCTTGGACTTGTTCAGTTTCTGGACAGACTGGTTAGAGCCTAAGTGGATGCAGAGGGATTCATTCACTGGTGTTAAGTTTACTTCTTCCTAGAGAACTGTCTGTGTGCCTCTAGGAAGGTTCAGTAGAGGCTCCACTGCAGGAGACCAGAGGGTTGCTGGGTGGAGCAGGTTCAGAGTCCTTTCTATTCTGAAGAGGAGCCTGTAGTATGCAGGGGTCAGGTAGTCTTTAGGAATACGTGATAAGGAGTAGAGCCCTAATGCTTGCAGAGCCTGCACCAGCAGACCCTTTATTAGGAGCTGGACTGCTGTGGGGAAGAAATGGGCATTTACTGGCGTTCTGCACTGTGAATGTGCTCTTCCCGCCTAGCCAAAGCCCCCAACTAACCTAGGATTCCCTGTTCCAAATCAGTGTGTGTGTGTGTGTGTGTGTGTGTTGGTTTATGTGGAGACAAGAAATCATAGGGTGCCTTTCTTGTTTTTTTTAAAAAAAAAAAAAAGAAAAATTACTTTTAAAAAGTATGTTTATTGCCGGACAGTGGTGAGGCACACCTTTAATCCCAGCACTCTGAAGGAGAAGCAGGCAGATCTCTGTTTGAGGCCAGCCTGGTCTACAGAGTTCCAGGACAGCCAGGGCTACACAAAGAGACCCTGTCTCAACTCTCCCCACCCCCAAGGGGTGGGTCTTCCCACTTCAAAAGACTTAATTAAAAAGTACCCTTTACAAGTGTTTAGTTAATTCTAGATGTAGTCAAGCTGACGACCAAGAACAGCCATCACAGGGCCCTGGACGGCTGAAAATTCACAGCAATCCTTCTTAGCTTTCCAAGTGCAGGGATTACAGATAAGCACCGCTAAGTCTGGCTAGCTAATACTTTTCTTGAAATACTCACATACCATATAATCCACCCACCCAAATGTACAATGAAAGAATTCTTAGTCCCCAGAGCCATGAGAAAAATGGTTCAAGAAGTCTGGAAAACTTGTATTCCCTGATGAATCAAGAATTTGCACTTGGCATTGTAATTTTGGAAGCTTCATCCAGGCTGTTTTGGGCATATGGAAATCAACTGGCTTAATTGGAAATATGGGAAAAATAAAAATGCCCTGGGCAAAGGGAAATGCTTCAATCCATTGAGGCTGGACCCTCCCCCCCCCCCCCCCCCCCCCCCCCCCGCAGCCACAAAAGACTAAGTTCATTCTTAAAGTGTCTCCGAGCCTTCTTTTGATGGCCTCCCGTGAACCCACACCAGTGCCCAAAACACACGTGACATTATGGTGCCCAATGTGTGGCTTGAAATAGGACAAAGGATCTGCTGAAGCACAGAGAAGCCTGCCACTTTGAGAACTGGTAGGACAAGTGCCCTCAGTGGAAGGGGACTCTCCATCTCAGGAGCCAGGGTCTGTGCAGTTATTACAACACCTGTTAAAAGGAGATGGCGTGGAAGCCAAGGAAAACAGCTACAGAGCTCTCGGTGTTAATGCCACGGCCCTGACACCGGCTTCAGCAGCTATGGATGCAGGTGAGGAGAGCTCTGAGGAGAGCTCATCGGAAGGGAGAGCCCGTACAGTTAGAAATGTGGTCTGTAAGTCACTCAGTATCAGACGCTCTAGAGCCGCTGCAGAGTTGAGGAGTCACCTAAAGCCGAATCTGAGGTGGAACAGGAAAATAAAAGACACTCAGGCTAGAAATCGTCAGTCAGAAGAGGAGAATGTTCCTTCCCAGTGGATAGGAACACTGTTTCAGAGGGCAGCGACAATGAGGAAAGCCAGGACTTTGGAGATGACGTGCCTCCTTCAGCAAGTTCCACTGGCAAGCGCCACCACTGGCCACACAAATGCAACCATAAGATTGTCTTTTGTATTTAACTTCTTCCTTTAGTAATATTTTTAAATGTTTATTTTTATTTCACGTGTGTGGATGTTGTCTGCATTATGTGAGTATGCTATTTGCAAGCCCAGTGTCCAGAGGCCTGAAGAAGGCTTCACATCCTAGAACTGGATCTAAAGATGGTTGTGAAGCACTATGGGTGCTGGGAAGTAAAGCCAGGCCCTCTGCACGCAGGAAAATGCTCTTAACTGCCAACTAGACCCCAGTCCCAGCCTTGGCAGTATTCATGCTTTTTTAAAGGCATATTTGCTGCAGGGTAGTTTATCACACTGAGATTGCACTATATCCTGTTTCTAGTTGTGGTGTGGCTCAGCCCTAGTGCACACCTTTAACCCAAGAGCTTTCTGCTTATTGCAAATAGGATTAAATAAAATTGACAGGAAGTGAACAAGAAAAAAACCATAGAGTAAGAGGGAGTCAGGACAGAGAGAGATACAGGAAGTGGAAGGGAGACATTGAGTTGGAGGAAGGTCAGCTGGGTGCTTTCTCTGCCTCTGAGCTAGCAGGTTTCCACCCCAGCATTTGTCTCCCAAGTCTATATTGGTAAAATTGAACATTGAATTTTTGTCAAAAATAACAACCATTTAATTATTTGTTAACTAATTTTAATTGGTTTCAAGGTAATTAATTTTTCTTCTCTTATATGTTACATCCTAACCTCAGCTGTCCCTCCCTCCTCTCTTCCCAGTTCCCCCCTGCAAACACACCTTCCCTTTCTCCCAGATCCACTACTCCTCCATTTCCCTTCAGAAAAAAAATCAGATCTCTCAGGGATATCAAGCAAGCATGACATAACAATTTACAATAAAACTAAGCGCATATCCTTATGTCAAGTTATAGTGTTAGCCACTCCTACCAGTTCTGCGCCATCTTTACCCCAGCACATCTATCTTGCAGGCAGGACAAATTGTAAGTTGAAGGTTTTGTGGCTGGGTTGGTGTCCCACTCCCTCCACTGGGGGCCTTGCCTGGTTACAGAAGATGGCCAGTTCAGGCTCAATATCCCCCATTACTAGGAGTGTTCACTAGGGTTACCCTCATAGATTCCAGAGATTTCCACTGCACTGGGTTTCTACCTCGACCCCTAATGTCCCCCAGTTCCGACTCTCCCAATATTCTCTCCCTTCATCCCTCCCCTGCACCTGATCTCTCCTGTTCCCATTCCCACCCACCCTAACCCACATCTGGAATCCATTCTATTTCCCCTTTCCAGGGAGATCCATGCACGTCTCCCCTCTCCTTGAGCCCCTCGTCTTTTTTTAAATTATTTATTATGTATACAAAATTCTGTATATGTGTGTGTCTGCAGGCCAGAAGAGGGCACCAAACCTCATTACAGATGGTTGTGAGCCACCATGTGGTTGCTGGGAATTGAACTCATAACCTTTGGAAGAGCAGGCAATGCTCTTGACCACTGAGCCATCTCTCCAGCCCCCCTCCTTGTTACTTGCCTCTCTGGATTTGTGGACTGTAGCATGGTTTTCCTTTACTTTACAGCTAACATCCACTTATGAGTGAGTACATACCATGTTTGTCTTTCTGGGTCTGGGTTACCTCACTCAGGATGCTTTTTTTCTAGTTCCATCCATTTACCTGCAAATTTCATGTCTGTTTTTTAGCAGCTGAGTAAATTGTGTAAATATACCACATTTTCTTTATCCATTTTTTTGGTTGAGGGATGTCTAGTTTGTTTCCACTTTCTGGCTATTATGAATAAAGCCTTAGCAGTTTGTTTGCTTGCTTGCTTTTTCTTTTTAGGTTTTCTTGGAGACAGGGTTTCTCTGTGTAGCCCTGGCTGTCCTGGAACTTGGTCTGTTGTTGCATGAGTTCTAATTGGTCTTAATAATAAAACCCAGAGCAAGATATCTGGGTAAATGCTGAAAGGTCAGAGAGACAAAGGAGCGAGCCACAGCCAACTCTTACCTTGCTAACCCCTCAGCCAAAAAAGGGCTGAGCTCTTGTCTCCTCCCACCTCACATTCCTCTCTGTACCCAGCCATACCATTTCTTGTCTGTCTGTACAGACCTCCAGACCTCTATGGTTAACTAGTGGCTAACTCCACCCTCTGATCTTCAGGCAAGCTTTATCTGTTAGAGCACAAACAAAATAACACCACTCTGTAGACCAGGCTGGCCTTGAACTCACAGTGATCATCCTGCCTCTGCCTCCTGAGTAATGGGATTAGGCCTGCATCATCAAGCCTTGCTGTGGAATCTTTTTGTACACTGTGAATATGTGCTGTGGAACATTTGTTTAATGATCCAAAGATATGTTGCATTCTTTTATGTTGCATTTGTTTAACTCTGTAAAACTGTGCTACTTTGCCTGTCTAAACACCTGATTGTTCTAATTAAGAGCTGAACGGTCAATAGCTAGGCAGGAGAGAGGGATGGGTGGGGCTGCCAGGCAGAGAGAATAAATATCAGGAGGGGAAATCTAGGCTCAGAAGTAGAGCCATGAGAAGAGAGGGAGAAAAGGAGGGTAGGAGGACGGTAGGGGCCAGACACCAGCCACACAGCCAGGCACGGAGTAAGAAGAAAAGGAAGATATATAGAAGAAAGAAAGGTAAAAAGCCCAGGACAAAATGTAGATGAGAAAGGGGATAAGTTAAGTTACAAAAGCTGGCTAGAAACAAGCTAAGCTAACTAAGGCCAGACATTCATAAATAAGAATAAGTCTCAAGAGCTAGTTCCACCAGGCGGCCTTTAATCCCAGCACTCGGGAGGCAGATGCAGGTGGATCTCTGTGAGTTCCAGGACAGGCTCCAAAGCTACAGAGAAACCTTGTCTTTGGGGGTAAAAAAAGAGCTAGTTCCAGGACAGGAAGCAACACAGAGAAATCCTGTCTCAAAAAGAAAGAAAGAAAAAATAAGTCGCTGTGTATTTATATGGGAGCTGGATGGCAGGCCCCCAAAAGAGTAAAAACAAAACAAAACAACAACAAATATGTATCACTTGGATTTGTTTAATAAACAGCTGAACGCCCAAGTGGCTAGGCAGGATTTTCAGGGCAGAGAGAACTCTGGGAAGAAGAAGGGTAGAGTCGAGATGAGATGCTAGGACTGAGAAGAAGTAGCATGGGCAGTATAGGGTAAAGGTAATAAAGCCATAAGACATTAAGTAAATAAATAAAAATGGGTTAAGTTATAAGAGCTAGTTAGAAACCAGCCTAAGCTATTGGCCAAGCTTTCATAATTAATAAGAAGTCTCCAAGTCGTGATTTGAGAGCTTGAAGGAGGCTCAGAAAAATCCACTAACAAAGCCTGACTTACTTGTTTATTTTTGAGACAGCATCTTATACTATAGCCCAGGCTATCGTTGAACTCATTAGGCCTCAGCCTCCTAAATCCTGGAATTATAGACCTGAGCCA